AAAAGCGCTTCTTCCCCCGCAGCTGGCTTGGAGGAGGAGGAGGAGGAGGAGGAGAGAGAGAGGGCACTTACCCTACCCGCCTCTAGAAAGAGCCTTTATCCCTCCGGCTTGCCCCCGATCTGATGGAGCAGCGCCGGGCACACTGGCTCTAAAGCGTGCGGTCATTGAGATACGGGCAGTCGGCAGCAGGGCCAGGAGGCCATTTAATCTCGGGAGCTGTGTGTGTGTATATGTGCGGGGGTGGTAAAATTAAATTAAAAGCCTCCCTGGGAAATGTGTCAGGCTTCTCTGCAGCGGTGCGGATTTCCAGGAGGATAGACCTACATTGACTTGTATGCCACATGACCCGCGGTGGGGGGCTGGACGGGGGGCGACAAGTCATGAGACTGAGATTTGCTTTCTGAGTCAGGGAGGAGAGCGGCATTTCAACGCCTCTGAATGCAAAGTGGGACAACCCGGGTACTTCAGGCCTCCCTGGAAGCGTGGCCGGATCTGGGGAAGGAGAGGGTTGGAAACGGGACAGGGCCCCGGTGGGTTGCGGGTCCAATTCGGAGCGGCGCCCTCACGGGCAGTTCAGACCAGCCTGATACGATTTCAGAGCCGGACCTGCAGGAATCCCCCTTGTGCGGTTGTGAACCGGATCTTTGCTCCCGGCTACAGAGCCTGCCCCGGGCTTCCCAGGACCTGGAGCCGACAGGCTCTGGCCCTCTCTCCCCCAGCTGTTTCCGGCAGGAGGGGAGACAGAGCAGCTAGAAACACGCAGCCCATGCAGCAAGAGAGGCGAAAAGGGGGAGAAAAAAGAAACCAGACTTTTATAAAACCAGTGCCCCGGAGCTGGGGCTGCTGTTCCCGGGGAGGAAACGAAAGCGGGCATTTCCCCTGCCCCTGTAACGCTTCCCAGGAGGCAGGAAACCCAGAACCAGGCGGGGAAACTTCTGCACCCGTTTCAGGTTTGGAAGCCAGCTCGGCTTGCGAGAGACAAGCGCTGCCAGCTGCAGCCGAGCCGAGCCCAGCCCAGCCCAGCCGGGGAGGGGCGAGGATCCAGCGCCTCCAGCCCCGCACACGCCCCGCACCCGGCGGGGAGGCACAGCTCCGGGTTGGCATCCCCCATTCATGGATGGATGGATTATTAGCGCAGTGTGATGGGCGGCCAGGATCTTCCAATCAGGTGAAAGAACGGGCTCTACCCCTGCCTGAAGGGGCCAATCACAGTCGTCTCAGTGAAACATTGTTACAACCATCCGCTTTGAACCAGGGCAAGGGGGACAGACGGAGCCAAGCCGGCGGCTGCAGGCATGAAGGCTCCCGGGAGCACTGAGCAACCGGGCGCTGGCAAAAACCTGTGGCTTCCCTAGCACGTCTGTCCCGTTGCCCGAGGGGGAGGAAGGAAGGGACAGAGAAGTGGGGAGGCGGGGAGCTGTCACCTTCCGCGCGGGCATCCGCTCCCCGCGTGGACCCAAGAGGCAAAAGATCCACTCCGCCTTGTTGGCTCGGAGTTAAGCCCAGCCCCGGGGCAAGGAGCTCCTACCCCGGGGCACCTCGAGCTAAGTCACACGGTACGTTTTGCTCCGCGCGAGACGCCTCCCCGGACTTCCAGGGGAGTTTCGCCTGTGCGATCGGGGCGGATACGGGGCAGTCCTGTAACGCTTCCAGCTGAAGCGGTATTTCCCGGCAATACACCGGCTGGGAGCAAACCCATCGGGAAGGACCGGCAGGTCAGCTCCGGGCACAGCCTTAGCACGCACCCACACACATGCACACGCACACATGAGATCTAGGGAATCTAGCGAGCCTCGCCTTGTCAAACCTATTCCCCCCTAGTCTCCTCTTCTCGATCAAATTAAGTGTCTGGTGTAATTATCCTGCCGCAATCCCGCGGGTTGGCCTGAGTTTTATTACTCAGGAAGCATTTCGGTGGGGGGAGGGAGGAGAGGAGAGAGGGGTGATGTGGCAATTAGCTGGAGTTTCAAAGACTGTATGTCTTTCGGTGTCTTGGGCAGAGTTTTGCTACAGACTGTATCTATACCTAGAGAGACAGATCTCTCTCTTTAGATATATCATCTATATATATATCTATATATAGGTCTCTCTCTCTCTGTGTATATATATATATACAGAGAGAGAGAGAAAGAGAGAGAGAGAGAGAGATCTATATATCGATAGACATAGAGAGACAGCTGTATCTATCTATTTCTCTGGATTTTTGAGTAGCAACATTTTATACATAGATATTACTACAGAATATTATATATATATATATATATATATATATGTATGTACATATATATGATGTATGTATATATATATTGCATATAATATATTGCTACAGAATGCGCGCGCGCACACAGGCGCACATTTCTGATCCCACTTCCCCCATTCCTTTTCCAGTCTCTCCCCTTCGTATGCAGATTTCATTATGTTTTACAAGGCAGGCTGGCCCAGATGGAGAGCACGAGCGATCTTTGGAAACGAATCTTAATAAGCTACAATGTTAACTTATATATATATATAAGTTAACATAAGCCGGATATATATATAGATATATAGATGTGGAGCCCACCCGCCACTGCCTGCCTGGCCAAAATCAACACAGAAGCAAGTATTAGAGAAGGCAAATCGCCACGGGCTTGGACTGGAGAAGGACACGAGACGTTTCTTTCCAAAACTGGATCGAGGCAAAAAACAAAACAAAACAAAACAAAACCAACAACCCCCACTCCCAAGCACCCCCAGTATCTGCTCTCCCCGCGGTGCCTTGGATCGGGACAAACAGCTCCTCCGCGCCCCGCCGGGGTCACCGCACACAACCCGCCGCCCAGTCCCCCGGGTTGGTTCATGCACCATTTTAGCGCGGAGCAGCCCGAGAAAGGAGGCCCGGGACCCATTCCAATTTGCATCTGAATCAAGACGGAGGTGGGAAGTGGAGATCAAAGGCTCGGCTGCTTGTGGGCCACCCTGACACCTGCCGCTGCGCCCCGCGGAGGTTCAGCCTATTTCCCCGCAGACAAGGAGCTGCTGCCTCCCGGGGAAGCGGGGGTCCTTTGCAGGGACAGAAAGGGCCGGTCGCTTCTCTGCGTTCAGGATGGGGACTGCTCTAAACGTCTCCGACTCCCTAATGCAATATTTAGCTCGCATTAAAAAAATAGTAAATCAATAAAAAGCAAGGGTTTATAACTGGGCTGTGTGCGCCTCTCCCTCCCGTCGCACCCGCTGGATGGGATCCACACAGATCCCCTTGGCCACTCCTGGGACCCTCACGGGGCAGATTTTAAAAAAACCAAACACAACCCTCCTCCCAGCTGCCCCGGGGGGCAAAGCAACCGCGGAGGATCCCGCACTGCGCTCAGCACAGACGGCTCAGCTGCCGGGATGAGCGCCCCGGGGTAGGTTCAAAGCACTTCACTTCTGCATCGACTCCGCACCGTCCCAGAGACTTTCGTCCCTTTCCCTAAGGAGGGAGATTCGCCCCCTCCAGGTTCAACGAACCGCACTCCGAGGAGCTGGGGACAAGCCCAAAAACAAGAGGTAAAAGCCCTAGTGATCTCCAGCGCCCGCAGCTCTGCTAGGAGTCGGCGCAACTCAAATCCACTGCGAGGGAGCGAAGATAGGAAGGAAGAAGAGCCTGGAGGGCGAAAAAGTGGGGAGACAACTCCCTTTACATCCGTACAGCCCTTCTCCCAACCCACCCCGGGTTTTGTTCACCTCCACGGCAGACGAAATCCCAGCGCTTTCCCGCGGAGGATGAGATATAACGTATATCTCCCCCCCCCCCCCCCCCCCCCCCCCCCTCTTCCCCCCCCCCCCTTATTTTTTAACTTCTCCACTATTTGCACAACGCTGAGTTCCGGGGGCACAAGTCCGACAAGCCGAGACCCAGAGGAGCTTTGGGAACCCGCCATGGGGCATTTGGAAGCGATTTCAAGGCGAGATCCATGAGAAAGAGCTCGGCTGCCAGGGTGGGGAGCAGCCTGGCACCGGGCGGGGGCAGAGGCGCCCGCATTGCCCTGAGCTGGAGCGGGGGTCTGTGTCCCCCTGCTCGGCCCACCTGTGCACTGAGTTGCACCGAGTTCGCAGCCGCAGCAATCCCTGGCCGCGGCGCCTGCAAAGGAGGCTTTGGCATGGCCACTCGGGCAAACCGTGTTAATAGCCCCCGAGAGTGGGCCTCATACGGCCTGAGATCCCACCCTGAAATGCAGAGGGGGGCAACGCTCCGAGCCTGGAGCTGCTGGGGACAACACAGGGACCTGCAGCCATCTCCCCCCTCCAGCCGCTGGAGTGAACCTCGCAAAGTTTATTATTGTCCTGCAGCTACCAGCACCCCTAACAAACACACACACCAACACACACACACACCCCTCTTCCCACTCTATTATTGTCCTGCAGCTACCAAGTCCCCCAACACACACACACACACCAACCCCCCCCCACTTTTTCCAGTCTATTATTGTCCTGCAAGTACTAACACCCTCAACACACACAACCCTCTTTCCAGTCTATTATTGTCCTAAAACTACTAACACCCCCAACACCCGCGTCTTTTCAGTCTATTATTGTCCTGCAGCTACCAACACCCCCAACACACACGCACACCAACACCCCCCCCACACTTTTTCCAGTCTATTATTGTCCTGCAAATACTAACACCCCCAATACACACACACACACACACACACACCCAACACACACAACCCTCTTTCCAGTCTTTTATTGTCCTGCAACTATTGACATCCCCAACACCCCCCCACTAACACACACACACGCGCACCTCTTTCCAGCCTGTTATTATCCTGCAGCTACGAACACCCCGAACACACCCACCCACACACATACACACTCACACCCCTCTTTTCAATCAGTGTCACAAATGCCCTTCAAAGCTTCTTTAGGCAGACAGGCAAAGTTTTAAACTTCATTAAGGGGCCAAGAAGCCGCCCGGAGAGGGCTAAAATGAGCCGGATCCGAGCCGTTCCCAGGGGCGGGCAGATGGAGATGTCGGCGCCTCAACACCGGGGAGAAATGGCCCGGTTGCGCCGGGGTTTGCAGCCCCTGGGTGGTCGGCTCTAGGGGAGAAAGGTAACGAGAAAAGACACATTCACAGGCGAGGAGACCCCCTGCAAGGGGGCAGCGCGGAGGCCGCCCCTTCCCCGCCCAGCCGCGCAGTGTTACCAGATCACTCACAGGTGCTCGTCTATTTTGCAGGGAAGCGCTAAACACGCGCGTTCCTCAAATAATAGCCACACGCTCTCTCTTTCTTCTTCTTTTTTTTTTTTTAGACTAAAAACTGGTTGAAGGAACAAGAAATCATAAGGATCCGCTTTAATTCTATTGGTTTCAATAAAAGCCGCCGCAAACGCTTGTTGCCTGTTTTCTAAAGCTCCCCCCGCACGTCTTTTGCGTGATTTCGCACAGGAAGCCGGATCCCAGAGGCTGAGGATTAAGGCAAAAACACAACCCAGTCCCTTGCAAATATTTCTATAGTCCCTTCAGAGGAGGGAAAATGGCTTGCTGTAATTAAAGTCTTAAATCTAGCGTGAAAAATGGAAGTTTCTATACAGAACCACGACACTGGACAGGCCAGAGGCACCCAATGGAGGGTCCGAGCGGTTGAAAAGCAATTTTAAAAAAGTAACATTCATTCTTTGGAAATGAAAGAGGGGGAGGGGTTCCCCAAAAGCCATTTCTCTCTCTCTCTCTCTCTTCCTCTCGATACTATTTTTTCCAGGACTCTTTGTATATATATAAAGATAAAAATACCAGGGGAAGAGGCTGGGATGCTGCTCTCTGTTTAAAACTAGTCTCAGTTTAGAACCAGGCTGCTTCTGGTCATAATGGAAACCAGAGTTTGCCACAGGACGAGGTCGAGGAGGGAGCCCCAAGCTTTCCCACGGGCGACCGGGATGGAAGCGGACAGGCTGCCCCTTTTGCACCAGCGATCGCATTCAGATCTCAAGACTCCGGGATCTAAAAACGAAAGCGAGGTTTTCCCTCCCGGGAAATTGAGTTTTGAAGTCTGCTAAGAGGTTCCCGGGGTCAGCTGGACAAGCTGATCTCCAAGGGGGTGTTTTTTTCCCCACCTTTCCCCTCACTCCACACCTTCCCAGGCAGAAAATATTTGGCCGGATGAAGTTAAACAGAAATAATAATAATAATAATAATAATAATAATAATAATAATAATACAAGGGAGACGTTCTCAGAAGCATCGCGAGGGCACTTTTGCCTCTGGAACGAACAGCGGGATAAAGTATCCGCTTTCGACGCATTCAGATCTCAAGACTCCGGGATCTAAAAACGAAAGCGAGGTTTTCCCTCCCGGGAAATTGAGTTTTGAAGTCTGCTAAGAGGTTCCCGGGGTCAGCTGGACAAGCTGATCTCCAAGGGGGTGTTTTTTTCCCCACCTTTCCCCTCCCTCCCCACCTTCCCAGGCAGAAAATATTTGGCCGGATGAAGTTAAACAGAAATAATAATAATAATAATAATAATAATAATAATAATAATAATAATAATACAAGGGAGACGTTCTCAGAAGTATCGCGAGGGCACTTTTGCCTCTGGAACGAACAGCGGGAGAAAGTAGCCGCTTTCGAACGTTCATACATTTTTTCGAACGTTCGTACACTTTCGAACGTTCGCAGTGCCGGGTGGGAGGGGGGGTGTTTGGAATAATAATCTAATCGAATAATCCTTAGACCCACAGAGTCGGGGAAAGGTTTCTAACCCCATCAGGCGATTTCCCAACAACCCAAAGATTTGGTGCCAGCGAGAAGGCGCCGTTTGCCCCAGTAGCTACATGGACAAGAGAGGGGGAGACTTCGGGAGGACTCTGCTGCCTTTCGCTTGTAGAGCTAAAAACTTCTCCTCTAGCAAGGTCGGGCTACAGGATCGGGCCCTCTACCGCCAACAGCCGTGCATTCAGTTTTACATCGTTGGACTTTTATGCAGGATTTTTCTAACGGCAATATTCAAAGAGGAGAGGGAGAGCAAAAAGTAGCGAGATTCCTAGTGGGATTTTGGCAGAGGGGGAGGCGGGGAGGGATTCTCATCAGCTCCTGCAGCTAATTATTTTCCTTGACTGCAAACACTGAAGGATCAGAATCGGCGGTGTTCTCCCCACTCCCCTCCAATAAATAAATAAAGCCCTTCTTTAGCCGGCGGAGCGTGAAAAATGATCCTCGCTGAACGCTTAAAAAATAATGTCCCGTGAAGATCAAACCTGCAGAGTCAGCCAGCCCCATAATTAGAGGCCATTATCTGCGGTGCCTTTAAACGCCGGCCCCTCTAGAGTTAACATTATTCAATATTTCGCTATTAACCCCATCGCCCCGGCAGGCTTGCCGGGGGAAAGGGCTGGGGAAGGGGGGGGAGATTTGAAACGTGGATTTCCTCTCTCTCTCTCTGTTAAGTTTGCAAATATCTCACGGGCCTGCGCTGCCCGGTACCGGAGGGGACCGAGCTGGTGGGAGAGAAACGAGCAGCCAGCCCCCAGCCCCAGCTCCAGCCACAGCTACCCCCGACCAGCCAGACTGTTGCAACGGAGCAGGATCGCAAGGGGAATCAGAGCCTGGGGAGGGGGCCAGAGGTAGCACCCCCATCCCTAACCGGATCAGCAGCTCTAGGGGTTGCAGACAGCCCTTTCAATCCGAAAAACGACAGTCATTGCGCGGCCTGGAGAGCACGGAGCACGGTGCAAAGCGCAAGGCGAGGAACAGGAGCAGAAGGGGCAGATCTGGGGGTCTTATATGGGGGGATAGATCCTCCCCAGCTCAGCTGCACCCGTGGCCCCAGAGCTGCACAACCCACCACGCACTCTCCCCCCATCCAACCTGTGACGGGGCAAAGAAATGGACGCGCCACACGCGATGCCCACCCCCAGGGTTGAGTTCAGCCTGGGGAACAAGGGGGTTTGGGGAGGTGGGGGGATAGGTTTGAAGTCACCAGATCATGCCTGTGGCAGCCCCCTCGAGGCTTCCCGGTTCTGGGCTTCCCCCACCCCCGCAGCTAAAGACCCCTGGAAATCGCCCCAGATCCCCAGCGGAAATTGCAGCGCCTTTCGGGGCTGAGCCAGCCCCCCTCCCCCAGCAAGAGCTGACCCACGCAGCCCCTGCCCCAACCAGCCTTCCACGCGCGGCGTCTGCCCCGCAGCGCCCGCGATCTCCATTTCCAGCCTCCCTCCAGTCCCCACCACCAGCTCCTTGAATAAAACACAATCAAATAAAATCAAATCATCAGATCAAATCTCCAGGTGAAGCCCCTCCACTTCTTCCCCCCCAGTGGCTGCTGCACCGTGGCCTTTCCACGCTATTAAGAGGCAGCGCAGTGATTAGGGATGGACCCGAACAAAGCTCGGGAGCCGGCGGCTTTATCTCCCCTGCATCAAAGGCCTGGGGGCGAGGGGAGAAAGGACTGCAGAGGTGACCACCCTTCTCGTAATGAGCTTGTCGGGAACACCCCCAGCACAGCAGGCCGACAATGTGCGCCCAGCCCCGGGCAGAGAAAAGGAGAAAGGAGGGGGAGAGAAGGGGGGAAGGAGAGAGATGCTGTTTAGGGTCTTTTTTTTTTTTTTCCATCCCCCACCTTGCTCCAAGCCTGTGCTTGGCAAGCTGGAAAATAGATTCCTTGGCCTCCTCCTTCCTCCCCTTGTAGCCCCTTTTGTAGAAGCTGGGACATGAAAGGCGAAGACCAAGTGCCTGACAAGCGGATCGCTTTTCAAAAGCAAATGGGAGCGCGGGAGTGATGTGAGACCGCTCGCTGCGCCGGGCCGGCCCGACAGCCACCGCCGCAAGCTCCGCCGGGCTCCGCGGGGGGATTAAGACAGATGGAAAATGCGACACGACCACCCCGCATCCCCCAGCCCCGCCGGCCCGGGCCTCCCAGCGATCCCAGCCCGAGCAGAGCAGGACCCCGGCGGGGGAAGTCATCATCATCCATATCATCATCAACATCACCATCATCAGTATTAGTATAATTCTTACTATGAGCATCACCATTGCTGTTGCTTTGTTGTTATTATTGTTGTTGTTACTATTACTACACGTTACGACTTGGGATCACGACTTGCCATCACTAATTGCTAGTGCTACCAACCCCTGTTGCTCTGCCTATGGCTAAGACCACTGCTCTTCTTCTCGCCCCTTCCCAGGCTCCCCGGAGAGAGGCAGGGTCTCCCTGCAGACACGGCCCGGGACAAGCCGCCCTCTCCCCCGCAGCACAGGAGGCTGGAAGTGGATCCGAGGCCGCTCCGAGATGTTTATTTGCTTTGAGAGCTGTTGCAAAATTGAGGCCAAGGCGCTCGGGTTTCAACCGGGCATTCAAAATGCTCCAGGCCCGGGGAGGAGAAGGGAGAGGGGGGTGGGGGGAAAGGCGCGGG